ATTGCAATGATTATAAAATGATAATAAAAAATTATTAATTTACTAGTCTATTTGTTTGTCTCTCTTTAATTATTAGTATAAGACATAGTGAGTATGAAAATGAAAAACTATTTATACTTAAATACGTCTCTTTATTCTATCATTTAGTCTTTCTATTATTTTCTCTCTTTTTTTCTTTTACTCTCTCTCTCTCTCTCTCTCTCTCTTTCTCTCTTTCACTCTTCCTCTCTCTCCCTTTATTTTTTAATTCATTAGTAAAATTTTTTTTTAACTTTTTTTTTAGAGCAATGTATTGAATATCAGAAACCTTGTGAAGAGCAAAACACATGCTGTCGACATCTTCCATGCTTTGATAATGTTTGTAGTTGTAATCGTGGAAATATTGATTGTTTAATTCGAGAAGATAAAAATCAATTGGAAGAAGAAATGAAAAGAAAAAATAAAGAGAGTGAAAATGAAAATAAAGAAGAATAATAATTATATAAATATAAATATACATTTTTCTTTATAATAAAATATATTTTAGTTATTAGTTTATTATTGTATAATATAATTATAATTAATAAACAATAATTAATTATTTTTATAAAATTAGTAAAATTTATTTTTAATAATAAAATAAATTGTTATTATAAAATTATATCTATAAAATAATATATTAATTTAACTAAAAATTGTTTTCAGAGAAAAATTTAAATATGAAAATATAGAAAAGGGTTTCAATAATCTTGCTCATGCTGTTTATTTACTATATAATTTTTTTTATAATAGTAGATTTATTTATTTTCTAAAAGTTTGAATATTTGAATTTCAATACACTATTAGACTACCAATGATTCTTATTATTTAATAACAAACAGCTAACTATGGATTTATTAATTGACAGTAACATCTATTAAGTATAAAATAAATAACAGGGCATCGGGAGGATTGGTAACTGTTAATTATCTTTTTTCTCTTTTTTTCTATCTTTTTTTGTCTTACTTTTTCTTGCACATAATAAAAATAAAATATTTTTAAATTAATAATTTAAAAAATAATTTTAATTTTTTAAATAATTTTTTTAAAAAAATTTAATTTTATCCATTATATTAAGTTACTATAAAAAAAATAAATTAATAACTACAGATGTTTTATTTTCATATTTTTAGATTTTAAAATTAATGAGATATTTTTTATTAAGTATAAAATTTAGTCAAATAGTATTTTTTCAATATTTTAAAGCTAATTATTATTAATAGTTTCTTTATTTTAACTATAGATCTAAACATTCCTTACATTATAACAAACGCATTGTTACCTAATTGCTATTAGATTAACATCAAAATAATGATTAGACTAAACAAACATTTAAATAATCATGGTGGATTTGGCGGTAGACTATTGTTTATGAGATTCCTTCTCATTATTTCTATTGTATTGATGATTATTACTGTCAATTGCAATGCTAACGGTAATTATAAATATAATAAATAAATTCCTTAGTTTCTAGTGTTTTTCTTAGACTCTATTATTTTATGATCAAATGATTAAGAGAAAATAAATGAGAGGTAGACTTAAATAGACAAAGAGAGAGAGAGAGTAAGACTAATAGCGAGCATTTTGTCTGTTTCTCTCTGTTTCTCTCTATTTCTGTATTTAATATTAATAAGCATTTGTTTATTTCAATAGATCAATGTATTGAATTTGAGCAACATTGTGAAGGAGATGGAAAAGGCTCATGTTGTCGTGAACTCAACTGCTATGAAAATATTTGTAACTGTTTTTTTGAGTAGGAAGATTGTAAAGCTAAAGAATATCGTTTAAAACATGAAAAAGAGAACAAGAAAGACAAAGAAGAGGCGAAGTTAGTTGATTATTAGAAAGTCTAAAAAAGCGAAAGAAGAAAAGAGAGAAATCGTAAAAATATATAATAATAATTAAATACATTTATATATATTCTTTTTTTAGTTTAAATAAAATATCTTTTTTAAGTATTAAATGTAATATTTTAGTTATTTTATATAAATTTCTCTGTAAAAGTTTCTGTCTCTCTGTCTCTCTGTCTCTCTGTTTCTCTGTCTCTCTGTCTCTCTGTCTCTCTGTCTCTCTGTCTCTCTGTCTCTCTGTCTCTCTGTCTCTCTGTCTCTCTGTCTCTCTGTCTCTCTGTCTCTCTGTCTCTCTGTCTCTCTGTCTCTCTGTCTCTCTGTCTCTCTGTCTCTCTGTCTCTCTGTCTCTCTGTCTCTCTGTCTCTCTGTCTCTCTGTCTCTCTGTCTCTCTGTCTCTCTGTCTCTCTGTCTCTCTGTCTCTCTGTCTCTCTGTCTCTCTGTCTCTCTGTCTCTCTGTCTCTCTGTCTCTCTGTCTCTCTGTCTCTCTGTCTCTCTGTCTCTCTGTCTCTCTGTCTCTCTGTCTCTCTGTCTCTCTGTCTCTCTGTCTCTCTGTCTCTCTGTCTCTCTGTCTCTCTGTCTCTCTGTCTCTCTGTCTCTCTGTCTCTCTGTCTCTCTGTCTCTCTGTCTCTCTGTCTCTCTGTCTCTCTGTCTCTCTGTCTCTCTGTCTTTTTCAATTAATCAATAGCCATAATTGTTTAATTGTATAGATGAATGTACTCAGTTTAACAAATATTGCGATAGTGAAACAAGCAAATGTTGTACTGGACTTCATTGCATAGATAACACATGTGTATGTGAAGATCATGATGAGAGCTGTCAATTTAAAACCAGATTATATGAACTCCATAAACAAAAAAACGAAAATCAGAAAGAAGAATAAATATATATATATAAAGAGCCAGTCAATTGAACTTGAGCCGCGTATTTTTTGAATAACCTTTAAACGGTTAGAGATAATTTAATTCTGTAAGGTACATTTAAGAATATCATATCGACCACACTTTATATACACACAATCACAAAACTAGGATGACCAGATATACAAAATATCGGGACCAATGAAAGACACTATGCTACAGGTCAAACTACAACCGACAAATTTATTATGATAATGAAAATTTGTAGTCAAGAAATAATAGTTTAATATAAAAAAAGAATCATCAAAATCGAATTGGAAGTTTTGTTTTTATGGCTTGTTAAGTTTGTCATAAATCATATTATATAAAATAGTCTAAAATAAAAATGACGTTATTTATGAATATTATATATTTATTAGATGATATTTTCAAATATATCACTAATTCTAAAAACCAAATTTTAATAAGTCGACTAGTTTTCGAAATAATCGAATTTTAATATAAATCACACTATTATAATTTGATATTATAATTTATATTGAAATTCGATTATATCGAAAACTAGTCGACATATTAAAATTTGGTTTTTAGAATTAGTGATATATTTGAAAATATCATTTAATAATTATATAATATTCATAAATAACGTCATTTTTATTTTAGACTATTTTATATAATGATTTATGACAAACTTAACAAGCCATAAAAACAAAACTACCAATTCGATTTTGATGATTCTTTTTTTATATTAAACTATTATTTCTTGACTACAAATTTTCATTATCATAATAAATTTGTCGGTTGTAGTTTGACCTGTAGCATAGTGTCTTTCATTGGTCCCGATATTTTGTATATCTGGTCATCCTAGTTTTGTGATTGTGTGTATATAAAGTGTGGTCGATATGATATTTTTAAATGTATATTACAGAATTAAATTATCTCTAACCGTTTAAAAGTTATTCAAAAAATACGCGGCTCAAGATCATTTGACTGGCTCTTTATATGAAAATCAATCTACAAACTATTAATATTTATATTAGTTAAATCAATAATGTTTGTAAAATTTATTTTTATATATTATATTTGCTTAATATTAATTAAAAATAATTAAAAAAATTAATTACTAGAAGCCTCTAAACATAAATAAAGTCAAAATGAAGAATAAATATATATATATATAAAAACTATTACTTTTATTTATTTATAAAAAACTAATATTTTTAGTAAATATAAAAAAATATTGTTTTATATATATTAAGAAAAATAAAATTCATTTTTAAAACTGATAACATTTTTTATGTATTTAGTTATCATATAAAATCTTTCTTTATCTCTCTTTATCTCTCTTTGTCTCTCTTTGTCTCTCTTTGTCTCTCTTTGTCTCTCTTTGTCTCTCTTTGTCTCTCTTTGTCTCTCTTTGTCTCTCTTTGTCTCTCTTTGTCTCTCTTTATCTCTCTCTTTGTCTCTCTCTTTGTCTTTCTCTCTGAAAAAAAATTTATATTAATAAATATATTAAATAATTAAAAAATTATTTTTATCCTAAATATTGTATGACCATAAAAATAATTACTTAATAGCCTACAAATTTTTTCCAATGTTTAATGACAAAAGCTATAAAATAGTAATTAAGACTAAAAACTATTTTTATTTATTTATTTTTAAATAAAAACCAATATGTAGCTTATTATTCAATTTTTCTTATAGTTACACAATATATTGTTAAAAAATAATAATAAATTAATATTAAATAAATAAATTCGTAGATGTCCTCAAATACATTGGTGTTGGTGCCGACTCAACGTTAGGACCGACAATGCTTTGGTGCCGATAACGTCGAGATCAACACCGGACACCGTAACAACCCATCCAACCGTTTCAATATATTATAATTTTTTGAAAATAAATTATTAACAAACAAAAAATGTTTAATAAATATTATATTATAATATTTATTATTAATATTTATTTACTATTAAATTGTTTTGATTCAACAAATACAATTGCAATCAATAATAATAATAATAATAGTGATTATAATGTAAATTATATTTATAAAAAATGTTATATATTTTTTTTAATAAAAAAACCCTTATAAATAATTTAATATATTTTTGATGTTATTGTAATTATTAGCAAACAATTACTGATGACTTATTAGATAATAGTTTTATCTATATATGCGGTGGTTTGGATGGCACAACCTATTTGTCTCAATGTTATAAATATAACAAACAGACAGGTATTTGGGAAACCATACAATCCCTGACCACTAAACGGGATTTTTTTAGACTGATTTCATACGATTCAAAATTGTATGCAATCGGCGGCTATAATGTATGTATTAAATAAACTGGTATTCATATATATATATTAATCAACTATTAAGTCAATAATAAACATAAATAATTAATTATTTTTTTTAACAAAAACTAAATTTAAGGGTAAAACTTTAAATAGCATCGAAACATACGATACACTAACAAATAAATGGCAATCAATAGCACCGATGAATATAATACGATAGTATATAATATAATTTAATACAACTATTAATTAATTTTTTTATAAAAAAAAATTACTATTGAGATAGTTATTGATTATATAACATTTTATTATATTTTATAATTAAATATAAAGTGGTCATGATGCAACTGTAATTCAAAATACAATATAAAATCACTTGCAAAATAGGTGAAACTGAGTTTTTAAAGATATCTCAGTAACTAAAAATGATATAATAAAGATATTTAATATATAACTATAGTTCCTTGGGAAGAATAAAATGGTGTAACTATTTTTTTTAATAAATTCTAAAAGATTGAAATTAAAAGAAAAATACTATATCTCAAAATCTATAAGAGATATTAAAAATCTACAAAAAACAAAAAATAAAATTAAAAAAATTATTAAATACGTTTTTCAGGATTTTTCAAAAAAACTAATATTTTATTTATAATATTTAGTTGAAATATAAATTGAAATGAAAATATTTATTATTTAATAATAAAAACAACTATTATAAGTAAATATATTTTAGATAAATATTTTATATTATAAACATAATTCAATATTTAGTATGTCCGCCATTGTTTTCAATGACTACATTCAATCGGTTAGGCATAGACTGTATTAAACGGATAAAATAATCTCTGTTTTCTGAAAGACTTAAATGAGCGCTCATTAAAACATCCCAAAGCCTAGTAGCGTTACAAACTCTTGGCTTTTCTGCCCGAACCATGTGCTTTAGCATTCCTCCGACGTGTTCAATTGGATTTAAATCTAGTAATAGTATATTTATAAAAATGATTACCTGGTGAACAAGGAGGATGAGGAATCACAAGAGATTCTGGATCACCCCAACCACTTTCACGAATCCAATCCTTAACATAATTGCTGTTGTGCACCGGATGATTATCATGAAGGAGAAGGAAATTTCCGTCATCAAAGTGTTCATTAATGTAAATCATGAGATTTTCTTGAAGATAATCAGCATATTCTTCTTTGTTGAATCGGTCAACTCTTTTAATTGGTCCCAATCCATGAAATGAGAAACTAAACGAAAAGTTAGTAATTTATTTAATAATTTATCATTTATACATACGAAGCAATAAATGTGAATGTTTGACGAGTGTTTCGTGTTGTCTCAATAATGTTTTGATTGGCATAGCGTTGGCCACGTAAGCGGTAAACAAAAACTTTGCCGTTATCACTCGTATCAATACCGAACTCATCAATGAAAATTACTCGACTCCAATCCTCAAAAGTCCAATCAATGAAATTGTTTGCGTACTGCAATCGCTTTGTTTTATGAATGTCAGTCAACTTTTGTCTGATTGCAGCAACACATTTGTGAATTCCTATAAAATTAAAATTACTATAAAATTTTTCATTCATTTAAAATTCATTCATAATACCTTTCTCATTAAGTCTTCGATATAATGTATAGTTAGAAGAATACGTTGCAATGCGTTCATTAGTCACTAATGGTTCACTTTGTCGCCATTTTGTCAATGGTTCAAAACGGTGTTCGAGTGCCATTTCTGCAATTAAATCATCGTCTTCTATGGTAGTTATTCGCGGACGACCTGATGTGACAGGTTTGAACAGAGGTATGTCTTCGTCGTCCATTTTCAGCCACCGATAATATGTGGATTTACTGATACCTTATATAAATAAATTTGTTAGTTAAAAAATAAAATAATATATATAAAATATTAGATGAATATTTACCGAGACAATGGATAATTCGGCTCACAGTGTCTTTAACTGCTCTCATTCTTATAAATCGTCGAAATTTAATTTCATTGTCGGCAAAGGCTGTCGTTAAAGACATTTTGCAATTGATAATAATTGATAATATGTTTACACAAAATTAAAACAAAACTTTTTAAAAGTATAGACAACACATAATAATTAAACTAATTATTTAAAGGTTTATGCAACTGTCGTTACATAAATAACGTTATTATTTTATGTTACTATTTATTTATGTATATTATAAAATATTTTTATAAAATATATTTATTTATTTATGTAAATTATAAAATATATTTATTTATTTATGTAAATTATAAAATATATTTATTTATTTATGTAAATTATAAAATATATTTATTTATTTATGTAAATTATAAAATATATTTATTTATTTATGTAAATTATAAAATATATTTATTTATTTATGTAAATTATAAAATATATTTATTTATAATAGTTGTTTTTATTATTAAATAATAAATATTTTCATTTCAATTTATATTTAAAATAAATATTATAAATAAAATATTGGTTTTAATTTCAATCTTTTAGAATTTATTTAAAAACTAGTTACACCATTTTATTCTTCCCAGGGAACTATAGTTGTATATTAAATATCTTTATTATATCATTTTTAGTTACTGAGATATCTTTAAAAACTCAGTTTCACCTATTTTGCAAGTGATTTTATGTATGCGGTGGTCAAAATGGTAAGTGTAATACAGTATAACTAATTAAATACTAACTAAAAAAACTTATTTTAATTAATTAATTGAATTATAAAAAAACAAATAAAACATTGTTTTCACAAATTTTCATTGTCTATATATAAAAATTTTATTAAAAACAATTACTTGCCACAACAGAAATTTATTAAATATTTATTTTTATTACTTGAAATTTTTAAAAATTATAATCTATAAAGATTTTTTTGTTGTAGAAATTTTTTTTAATAATTTTTTAATATTTAGGCAATATATTCAAAACATGTGAATATTATTCGCTAACTACTAATGAATGGCATTTTGCTCAACCAATGGGTACGGATAGGCGTAATCTGGCACTGGTAGCACACGATGGCTATATATATGCTATCGGCGGTCATAATGGTAAAGAATATTTGAATACAATGGAAAGGTATGATATAAAAACACAACAATGGCAGCCAATGGGATATATGAGATATCCAAGGTTAGTTATTTATATATATATATATAATTAATATATATATCAGTATATAATTAATATATATATCAGTATATAATTAATATATATATCAGTATATAATTAATATATATATCAGTATATAATTAATATATATATATATAATTAATATATATATATCAGTATATAATTAATATATATATATAATTAATATATATATATATCAGTATATAATTAATATATATATATATCAGTATATAATTAGTATACTAATTTTATTGTATTTATTTTGATAATTAAATTTTAGCTAAATGTTAAATTAATTAATATTATTTAACAAAAAAAAAATAATAGTTATTAAATAAATAAATATTAATTAATCAAAAACTAATTTATAAATTAAAAGCTTATTATATATTGATTATTAAATATTTTTTAAATGTATATTTTTTTATTACTATTATCAATAATTATTGCTTGTAAAAATTATGCTAAATTAAGGTGTATATATATATATTTATAATATTAACTGTAGTAGATGAATTTATTATTTAAAAAAATATTTTTTTTAAATATATATAAAATGTTAGATGTGATTTTGGTTCAGCATCATTTATGGGCAAATTATATGTTTGCGGCGGTTTGGGTAATACTGATCAAAAATCATGCGAATCATATGATCCGAAAGCAAATCAATGGACACCAATTGGTTTGATATGATTTTATTTTTATATTTTTAAAATAAAAATTTATTCAAAAATAATATATATTTTATTGTTTGTTTGTTTAGCATCTATGCTATTAGAAAGGCGTTATTTTAAATTGATTACATTTAATGAGAAATTATATGCATTGGGTGGTCAAGGAAAAGGTATATATATTTTTTATATATCAAAAAATAAATAAATTAAATTTAGATTTCTATTAAAAAATGATAATAATTTTAAATGTATGTATGTAGGTATATATATATGTAAACATTTTATACATAACTAATTAAAATATATATATATTGTATATATATAATATATATGTTATATAAAATATTACAAGTATCTACAAAATAGCTATTTAGATTATTTTATATATGAAATTAATAGAGGGGTCATTAAAATATTACGTTCTCACTTGAGGGTAGAGAGCGGGTTGGTCCATGTTAACTATTGCAAACGATGGGGGAGCGAGGGGGAAAGACATTATATATTATACAAGTTACATTATATAATATTTTAATTCTTAGTTGTGGAAAAATGGGGGGGGGGTTTAACGGATTTTCATAAAATGAAATTAAACATTACTATTTTACAAATGAAAAATATTTTTTTGTAGTACTGATATAAATTTATTAATTTTTTTATTAAAAATTAAAAATTATACAATTACTGAATTGTGATATGAATATTATTATAACAATTAATAGAGAAACCAAAATAAATAAATAAAATATTAATAAAAATATGAGATGATTGGATTATATGATTATAAGATTAGATGATATATAGATTTTTAATATAATATAATTTATGATTCAATAGTTTAATAAAATATTATAATTGATATAATATATATATATATATATAGTTAGTTTTGATTATTAATATTAGTAATTAATATGATTAACTAAAAAAATACTATATTAATAATTTCAATAACAAATACAATACATGAAATGGTTAGTACTGTTAGATATGGTCCCAGTGCTACACGCATACTGTCCAATGGCATACGTATATCGTATGGATCATCGATAGTGTCGCTGTTGTTATAATTAATATTAGAATTTTGTACATATTTTACTAAATAATTGATTCCTGTATTTATCCAAACATCATAGTTGCCCGTCTCAATTGATTGTATAATACTTTTACAAAAAATAAATAAATAAATAATATTTTTTTTTCTTAATTAATAATAATTAAATCACATTAAAACTAATACAAACTAAATTTTTGTATTATAAATATCATAATTAACTATACAGTGTCGCAAGCCCTATAATTTTACCAAACGTATAATTTCAACATAATCTATATATATATTTCGCCTATAGTTTCAATTAAATATGTTATTCATTAAAACAAAATTTATGTACCTATATTTTATATAAGCCAATATAATTAATTATTTATTGTTAAAATAAACAAATTTTATAATTTCACAGAACTTATCGACAACTGTATACCAAATTTTTATTACGACAAATTTAATTTATATTATCTGGCCACGTTGGATTTAAAAGTGATCAAGGG